TTGGCTGGGGTGGGGGGGACTTTTTTATCTGATGGTTTGGGACTGAAAGCACTGGATTTGGGTATGGGTCTTGGCTTTGCCCATCGGCGTGTTCTCCCCAAGCTGGGATCCAGCTTAGCTGGGATCCAGCTTGGCTGGGTGGGGGGGACTTTTTTATCTGATGGTTTGGGACTGAAAGCACTGGATTTGGGTATGGGTCTTGGCTTTGCCCATCGGCTCGCTGCAAGACCCTGGGCCAGGCTGTCTATCTTTCTGGGTATAGGGAGAATCTTTCCTCTCCCAATGCTGGCCTCTTAGGAATACAGCCAAGTTGGTTGGATGGCGCTCGGTGCTGTACGGGTGTATTGTCTGGCCCTCTGGCTGTGAAGCTAAAGTGAGCCCACTACTCCTTCACTCGGCAGAGCAGAGACTCATGATGAGGAAGACTATTCAGCTTGTTAATCAGCTAAGCACCATTCTCAGCTGTCCCCAGGCAGCGGGCAGGAGGATAGCCTTGGGGCTGGGGGTTGGGAGGGAGGCCGTGCAGAGAGGCCCTGCTCCAAAGAGCTTATAGTCTAGTAGGGTGTGGGGCCCCCTAAAAGGATCAGCTGAGTCTTGGTCTTATGGTAGCCCCCAGAGCCTCAAAGAAATCTGTTCCTAGCGCAATGGAGCCCTGTACGTAGTCCTGGTAAGATACAGCCACTGCTTGAAGGCGTTGGGATCTCAGTAGAGGAGACGAGCCCTGGAGGAAGGAAGTGTTGCTTAGATGGGGAACTTAGGTCCAAAGAGACTCAGCCAAGGCCACACAGGACATTAGTAGCAAAGCCATCCTACAGACTCCGGTGCCCTGGTTGTCCCTGGAGAGGAGCTGGTGATCCTGCCAGCTACACTAGTTGACCTACCATATTTTGTCTTATACAACACACCCCGGAAGAAAATGCACACCTTGTTTTTGAAAGGCAGAATAAAGGAAAAAAGATCTTTTCATGTTGTTAGTGTCCGAGTAGCAGCAGGGAGTTGAGCCTGCTGTGGATTGATGTAGATTTTGCTTTCTGTTTCACCCAGAAAGCCACAGAAACTGCTCTTACCATATTTCTCACACGTACTGTGTACTATAATTCCAGCAGCTGGGTTTTTGTGAAAAGGTATGTGCTGTTTGTGAGAGAATACAGTAATTTGCACCTGCATTTCAGAACTCTCTCATGAACCAAGGCCCTGACTCCAAGCCCAGCACCTTTATGGCAGGGTTAGGACTGAATGCAACTCTCCCATGAGCTGGCAGAGGCCTTAGCTGCAAGCTTAGTCTGCCTCTCCTGTCCTGTGCCCTTGCCATGTGCAGTCTGCATCTTTGCAAGCTCCAGGTGCCCTCTGGGAACGGAGCCCCTGCTTGTAATCCCAGAGCACCTTTCTGGTCTCCTCTCCCCAGCTGGGCAATCTGTTTTTGCTGGCCTGAAATCAGTGCAGTGGGAACGATCCCTGGATTCCAGCCCCTACCAGAGCAGCCAGAAATAAAGCAGGAGACCCAGCAAGAGTCGCTAAGAACATTAGAGGAATTACTGGATAGGATTTGCCAGTGCTGATCAGAACGTCAGGCTGTCAAGACTGGGTTGCTGACTCTGGCAGTGACCGATACTTACTGCATCAGGAGGAGGCAAAAATCCTCCCGTCACACAGTTCTGGAGGGGCAGGTAATTCCTTCCTGACCCCTGCAGTGATCGGCTTATGCCCTGAAACATGAGATTCGATTACCCTCTTAGTCTTACAAGGTTAAGTCTCCTTGCTGAGGGTCAAGCCCACTTAATTCCCAGCCTGGCTGCAGACTCTAAGGAAAGGGTTTGTGCTTCTTTCTTTTCTCATTGTGACTTGACTGGCAGGATGATGTCCCTTGATACTTTCAGGGCAAAGATTTTCCTTGTGGCTGCAACTGAATAGCAGAAGCTGGGGCTCTGGGTTTTGCTCTGGGTCCGGGTGGGGAGCAGAGGTTTCTGCAGCGGTGTCCCAGTCCAAGGCTTGTGGACTGGCAGGTCCCTCTAAAGCTGCTTGTGGCCACAGGGGAGGAAGCAGAAGCTTCTTGTTAGAGCAGCGATGGAGATTCAGGACTCCAGGGTCCCCAGAGGCTCTTTGAGCCAGCAGCTGAATGCTTTCTGTAGGGGATGGAGCTGAACTGGCATCCTCAGTTGGTGCCCGGGTACTGGACCACTCCTCAAAGGGTCTT